ACACATAGACGTCACACACACACATATACACACAATTTTCATCATTTGCTTCGCAAAGTACACTCTTTTTAGTTGATAGATACGTAACAATATATACAGAGAGAGAGAGAGAGAGAGAGAGAGAGAGAGAGAGAGAGAGAGAGAGAGAGAGAGAGAGAAGGAAAACGTGCAAATAAAAGTGGAGAGAGAGAGAGCGAGAGAGAGAGAGAGAGAAAGAAAAGGAAAAAGTGCAAATAAAAGAGGAACTCATTGGATCACTCACCTGTGACTTATGTTCTCCAGTGTCATCGGCATTCCATCCTTAGTCCCAACCCCATAATGCAGTCGAAGAATCTCCCTCTCCCGGGGATCGAGAACTGATAGGAGCCTGCACACATCTTCCTGAGAAAGATAAAGAGCAACATTGGTCATGCACCATCATGGCCGAAACAAAAGGCATCAATACTTGGTATTAATAATTACTTGCCAATACTAGGTGGCTACGTGCATCGTAGGACGAAGCGTTAAATCATTAAATGGCTAACCAAGCTTAGGTATTAACCTCCACGTTTTTAGGCCGTTAACGCAGTGGCTGAATCGGTGCGCCGCGCGGGTCCATATGCATTTGCGTCAGAGCCCCCTCTGGGGGGCCTAAGAACCCCTGGGGTACGGGTGGTTTAAGGTTTAAATTTCAAATTGAGTTGGTTGAGAGATGAAATTGTCAAACGCTGATGGGCAAATAAAACTGAGTAAGAAGGAGAATGTAGAGCATGTGGCAGGCACATAATAGAGTGTCACCTCACCAAGCAAAACCTGTCATTGGTGGATATGGATTTCTAAGGCAGGCATGTAAAAGCAATCTGCCCTGTACTAGATGACCTGTTTCAGCTTCGCCCGCAAAAAAAAGATGAAAGAAGAAAGCACAAAAGAAAGAAAACAACAAACCATCGGTCAGTCGATATCCTTAGTACTGCATTTCTCTATCACTTCAGTCAGTGCAGGATCAGATTTATATGCTTCTCTTATCCTCTCCCTGATATCATCCGCCAGATCTAATCCTATGATGACTGCAACAAAGTGATCACCCCTCCTACTCAGCGCATCAGCGACCTTATTATACGTCCCTTTGACAGTCTTCAACTCAAAATCAAAGGTATCAACGACTTGTAGCCACCCCCCCCAGCATGTTTATCTGTCAATTCGGGCTGCGTTTTAAGCCACTTCAGGGTCTCATGGTCTGAGTACACCTCGAAATGTGTTCCTAACAAATAATGTTTCCAGGTTTGTAGGGAAGTATACAGAGAATACAATTCTCTTTCATACGTAGACGCTGCAGTTTTCTTATTATGTGACCTCCTACTTGAGTATTTCATTGGCCTGTATCGTTTACCTTCCTCATGCTGTTGCAGAACAGCCCCAATGCCATAGTGACTACCGTTTTCACCCGAATAGAACGGCCGGTCATTATAGCTGTATTTGGCACAACTTTCAGCCCAGATATGGTGATAACTACTGGGCGTTCTATTCGGGTGAAGACGGTAGCATCAGTTGTGACTATAAATGGTTTATTAGGGTATGCAATCTTCAGGATGGGATAATGTGTCAGCTAAGACTCAGCTTCCATTTTATCTGTTTAGAAGTTCTCTCACATTCAGTATCCCAACGGCACCCTACACCCTGCTCAGTCAATCTCCTCATGGGTACGAGTATTTCGCTCCTATTTGGGATTAAAATTCATAAAATGCTTATAATAATTGACAAGACCCATAAATGAGCGCAGTTCATGGATGTTAGTAGGGCGTGGCCAATCTATCACTGCAACAATCTTACTATCTTCTGGTTTCAGACTTTCAGACCATCTGCGCTGATTACATGACCAAGGTATAATACTTCCTTATTGGCCCACGCACACTTCTTGGGGTTAATCTTCAACTGCGCTCTGCAGTACCATACTCTCAAGTGCTTGCAATCTTCTTCCAGTGATTTGCTGAAGGGAAGTACATCATCCAAATATACTACTACAAAGTAGTACAAACTCATCTTACCAGTCCCTAAACATTTCATTCATGCGGCGTTGGAAAGTTCCAAGTGCATTAGTTAAGACCAAAAGGCATCACATTGAACTCAAAGTGTCCATTCGGTCCTGAACGTTGTCTTATGTCTGTCTTCCTCTGCCACCTCAATCTGATGGTATTCTGACTTCAAATCTATCTTTGAAAGCCATTTACAGCCCTGCACTCTCTCCTGATGGTATCCTGACTTCAAATCTATCTTTGAAAGCCATTTACAGCTCTGCACTCTCTGCAACAATTCATCTATTCTAGGAAGTGGTTAAGCATTCTTCACTCTTCACTGTAAGTGCGTTCAGTCCTCTATAATCAATACCCATTCTTAACTCATTTTCTTTCTTTGGTACAAATAGTACAGGACCTACGGTGTCCTTCGGGACATCCGTTAAAATTGGAACGATACAGAGAAGATTAGCTTGGCCCCTGCACAAGGATGACACGCATAAATCGAGAAATGGTCCAAATTTTTACAAAAAAAAAAAAAAAAAGTACAGGACCTACGGGTGCTGCATAGGCTGAGCTACTAGGTTTGATCCATCCCTTTCTTGTTAGTTCTGCCAATTGTTTCTTTAGTCCTTGGAGTTCTAGCAAATTCATCTTGTAGATGGGTCCTTGTGCCAATTGTTTCTTTTGTTCTTGGAGTTCAAACAAACTTATCTTGTAGATGGGTCCTTAGGGTGTGCTGCTCCTAGGAATAATATCTATCCTATGTTTGATGATCTCTCTCTGCAACACCCTCAGGCTCTTCCTGAACATCCTTGAACTCTGACAACAATTTCTGCACTTCTACATGAATAGGCTTAGACGGTTTCTTTTTTTTTCTTTCTTTTTTTTTGTTTTTTTGTTTTTTTTTTTTTTTTAAATGTGGCCCGATGGACCACGGATCAGATATTAAACTGATCAGAACAGATACTACACTTGATCTTAGCCAAGAGGCCGAGACTTCCAGAGATACTCCCATTAACCTTACCTTCCTCTCCTTCTTCAGGTATAGTCTGCACTAATGCTACAAAAACTGCAGATTTTCTAGGCGATTCTCCTGCATGTACCTACTGAACTGATCTAGGTACAAGCAAGGAACATAGAACCTGGCCAATTTCCTAACTCCTCTAGCCTTTAGGGTTAGTCAGGCTGCATTCCTTCTCTCTCATGTCCACTACTGACTGCATGGGACTCCCGGCCCCAATCTTGGCCCAGAATCACATCAAATGGCAGATGTTCCTCCACTAGGAAACTGAGGGAGTGTTGGACTCTCTCATCCTCCAACCAAAGGTGACACCCGACGGCACTAACTGCCTGGCTAGCTACCATCTGACTCTTATAAGCAAGGGTACTCACAATCGGTTTATTCAAGTCTCTCACCTGTTCAACTATTTTGCACTTCTTTATAGTATCCCTGCTGATGGATGACCTTGCCGCGTCAGTATCTACTAATGCTGCCAACACCCGTACACCCATCCTACCTCTAATTCTAGAATCACTAGCTCTCCTCTCCTTTTAACTCTACTCAGTCCATGATTGGCATAAGGTGGTCAGCTCCTCACCAAGATCGTCAAGGGAAACGGGCAGTAAGAGCTTGACCAGGGCCTCAAGAGAGTGTACTGCCTGTGGGACTGCTCTCTCAGCCTCTGCCTCTCTCTGCTGGGGTGGTGGAATGGTATTGCACGCCTGTACTACTACTCTTTCTGATCCAACAGCAGATGGGGTAGAAGGGGTTGTACCTTCTACCAGTATTGCCTTTTGGCTGCCAATGGGGATAAAGGGTAATGCTGTGGCCAGTTTGCCCACACTTAAAGCAGGCATTCTCTGTCACTCTTCTCTCATACTCTTGCTGGGTGATCCTCAGCCTTCGCCAAGGTTCATAAACTTGCTGCTGTTGTGGTTACTGCTGCTGCTGGCCACCTCCTCTAGCTGGCTGGCCTCTGCCAAACCAACCTCTACCTCTTCCTCTTCCACGGCCTCCCTTACTGGCCGCGACAGCAGTGAAGTCTCCACCTGAAGTTGCAGCTTGCTGGCTGCCACTGCTGTCCTCTGAGTCCGGGAGCAAGCCGCTGTGGTCCAGCTCCTCCAAAGTCCCATCATCATAAATCACCATTAAGTGGGACTGCTTTTTGTCTTCAGCAATGATCTTCTTGCCTTCGAAATACTTACCTCTTTTCAGGTGTGCATACCTGAGACCAGTGCTGGCTCTTCCTGCTTGCCGGCTTCTGGCCTCTAGGTCTAGGGCCTCATCCTTCCGGCTGTGGTAGGTAACAGCCTTCATATCCCCATGTCTCTCCAACAACTGCTTTTTAATGTCTACAGGCAGGCATTGCAGCAAGATGTGTACTGCCTGAGCATCACTGTAGTCTACACCGGGGACTGCCAAGATGTTGTCCATATTCCTGACCAGAGCATCCACAGAAAACCACCTTGTGAGGTCCAAATGCATCAACTGACCCATTGTTGTGACATCACGGGTCTTATCCTTGTAACACGATCTGACCAGGCCAAGGAACCGCTCAAAGTCCTTGCCAAATGTCCACTGGTCCACCCTCTCATCTCCTCTTTCTCCTGTCACCACAGCCAGCAACCATTCCTTTGCATCGCCTGCCATCCACGTAGAGGCGATCAACACTTGAGCCTGGGGGTATCTGAAGTTATGTCCTGAGTTCAGAAATCCAAACATCCAGGTTGTTCGTCTTCTCTCCTCTGAAGAAGGTGGGCCTAGTAACCTTGACCATACCACTGTCAGATGGGTCTGAACTCAGCCTGAGGTGGAACCTGTACCGCTATTGGTACCTGCTGCTGCGGAGCTTGGGTCTGCGCAGTCTGAGGTTGCACTGGCAGGGGTTGCTGCTGCAAACTTCAAGATTGCGGAATCTGGGGCTGCACGGGTAGCTGTTGCCCTTGAGACTTGCTGCACAGTTTTGAGCTGCTGCTGCATCTGCTGTTATCCCAGCTTTATGTCTTCCAACAAGCTCTTCCCCTGCATCTTCATCCTTCCTTTCAATCTCCTATCAGCTTCCTGGCTCAACTGGACTGCCTCAGAGATAAGCCAACGGTTCTGTTGCATCCCCCTGAGTGTATGCAATGAAACCTGGCCTAGTCTATGCGCATCCACATTCTTCTTACCTACATCTTACTGCAACTGCTGCGTCATAACTTCTTTCTCTTTAAATTCCTGCGATTTTACACTCAGCCGCCCTCTTCCTTCCTTCTGCTTGCTGCACCACGGTTGTATGGGCGTTAATTTCAGCCTCTGGCCCTCTGCGGCTTTAATTTTATCTGCCCATTCCCGCAGCACTTAGTTCCTTTGCTTCTCCTGCCACCGCTCTGTTAACAGTTCTGCTGTCAGGTCATAACCTCCGGACTTCACCTCTGCAGTCAGCAGCTCCCACTCAGCAGCAGTAAATGCCAGAGGTCTTCCCCTGATCAACCCTTCTTGCTCTTCTTCCTCCTCTGATTCTTCGTCCTATGGTTGTTCTCTTCCTTTAGTTGCAGCAGACTGCTCCTCTTTCTTTTTCCCCTTCTCTTCCTGCAGAATGTGGATTAGCACAGTCCCTTCACCTCCTCCTTCCGGCTTCTCTTCTTCACCTTCCCCTTCCCCGGCCAGATTTGCGGCACTGCAAGAGCCTTTGCCTGTTTCCCCCTCAACTCTCTTTCTCTCATCTACCACTCTCTGATACTCACTGCTGGTTGCCTCTGTTTCTCTCCAGCAGTTTGAGATCGGGTTTCCCGTCGCCCACTTTCTTCCTCTGGCTTCTTCTTCTCCTCCTTTTGTGCTTTTTCTTTTTCTGTTGTTTCTTTCTTGCCTAATTCTCTGTTACTCCCTACATCTCCGCCTCCTGGTGGAACAACACCCAACAACATTTGGCAGAATATGGGAAAAACAACCGTGCAAAGGGGGCGCCAGATCTCCGAGAGGGTCACCGCCCCATACATGAAGACATCGTTGCCTCCCATGGTGACTCCGACACAGTCCCGTCAAACCCTAAAGGACTCCACCTCAATCACCCTGGGCAGCTGCTCACTGCGGGCTCAACCTTACGGGTTAGTCAATCAAGTTTCTTACACCTCGTTTTTTTTTGGTTGTTTGTGTGTTTGTTTGTTTGTTTGTGTGTGTGTGTGTGTGTGTGTGTGTGTGTGTGTGTGTGTGTGTGTGTGTATACGTCGTTCTTTCACCGCGGTTTTACTCACACAGCCAATATACGTTGTTAGTCTGACGTCAAAACAACTGTAGCTGGAGGCTTTCCTCGATTCGGATCCATTGATTCATGGTCAGGGTCAATCACAACTCGAAAGAAAAGTCTACAAAGGGTGTACTGACGATTTGTTTTTTTGTTTTTTTTTTCTGACGATACTTATACAGACAACTGTGACCTACGCATACAGCAGATCGACCGACACGCACACACAGCCGACACGCACACACAGGCAATCAGGTCAAGTTCGCTCGTCAGATTGCCACTCCTCAAAATTGCTGATGACGTCCACTGCACAATCACCATGCATGGTGCACATGCATGCGGCTGTCACCCACAGCCGTCTTGTCAACGTTGACCCCCAAACGTCGACTCTCCCTTCCTCCTCTCCAACACTAGTTCCCCTTGCCGTCCAACCCCTTTGTCTGCTGGATGATCACCTCCACTGCAGTTCTCCACCCGCCGGCCCTGATCAAGGCAGGGTCAACAGTTCTCTTCCCCGTATGACTCCTTCACCGCAATTCAACCACCTCCTTTTCTCTCCTATTTTTTTGTTTTTATTACTTTTTAATCACTCTCGCCGACATCCACTCCAGTGCTGAATTTTTTTTTTTATGTCAAGTGACTCAAGTCCCATGTCGAATTTCTGTTGGCATCAACCGCAGTGCGAGGCTACGCCCGCTTAGCCCCTACGGGCCCTTATTTGCAGCAAGGTCGGCCGCCCTAAGTGAAGGCAGGCACGACAGGCCCTCAGGGCCTC